GTGTGGATTTTGTTTGGATTGGGCCCCGTGTGATAACGTCCCTAGTGTCTCTGTTCTTCCTCATTTATGACTTTTGCCATCTTGACTACACTTTGATGTTACTTGGCCACACATATCCTGGTTTTCATCTGTAAAATGTTTGGGGTAAGAATATGTTACTTGTTCTGAACTACATTTCCCAGAATCCCCTGGCCACCATGGCAAGCGAGGTTACTATGTTTGCAAGCCTTGCTTAGTTGCTTAAAAAAAAAACAACAACTCTCAATTTGTATATTTGGATCACAACTTGCCCTAGGGGAAAAAAATAAAGCAATTGCTCCCTTGGAACAACATCTGCATCTGCACTGCAGAAATAATGTGATTTGACACCGCTTTAACAGCAATGGCTCAGTGTTATGGAATCCTGGGATTTGTAGTTTGCTGTGGCCCAGGAGCTCTCTGACAGAGAAGCCTCTATGTTTCACAAAACTACAAATCCCATAATTCAGTAGCATGGACCAATGGCAGTTAAAGCAGTGCCCAATCTGCATTATTTCTGTAATGCAGGCACAACCTAGGGTGCCACTGATTTTATCTGTCAGGGCCCCTGTGCCTTTTCAAAAGCCCCTCGTATTCAACAATGATAGCTCTCTTTGGGATGGAGGAATAGATGCTGTGATAGAAGATTCACTTCCTGAACCTCTTCTAGTGTTTGCTGGGTCAGACAGATGGTCTATCTGGCTGCTTCAAACAACATCTAAGCCAGAACCCTCTAAAAGTTTCTACACAGGGTAGCGCATGAAGGTGGTCTCCTGTTGAGGGTCTCCACCAAGTAGTAGAAGTATTCTGTATCCTCCAACTGTTTTGATTTGTCAGGGAGAGTCCAGATTAACATTGTTCTGTTTTTAACTGTTGTAACCCGCCTCAATTGTTGGGCAGAGAGGCGGGCTATAAGTAAAAATTATTATTATTATTATTATTATTATTATTATTATTCCTCAATGGATTTGTAATTGGTTGACTGGCTGAACCCAAAGGGTGCTTCGCAATGGCTCCTCTTCATCCTGGACCAGTGGGATGCCACAAGATTTGGTCCTGTGCCCAGTGCTATTCAACATCTTTAAGGGTTTCTTCTTTCCTGTTGAAGTTGTCCAAGTGTTTGTGGATTTCAATGGCTTCCCTGTGCATTCTGACCTGATAGTTGTTGGCATGGTCCAGAATTTCAGTGTTTCAAACAGCATTGTATGCCCAGGACGGTTTATAATCCAGAAAAATCAGCAGTAGCACAGGGAAGCCATCGAAATCCACAAACACTTGGACAACTTCAACAGGAAAGAAGAAACCCTTAAAGTAAACAAGGTTTGGCTACCAGTCCTACAAAATAGGAAAATCAGCACTCAGCAAATGCAAATGGGAAACCAACCAGGGTCAGGGGCTTTCCCAGCAGAAAATAGTAGACAATATCCTTGTTTGCATCTCCACTCACCCTGAAGCCATGCCATCAACAACAGAACAATACACAGTTTATATGGGAATCACTCCTCCCTACCCAGGGTCTCACAGTATATATAGACCCACTCTCTTCCATTCCAGCATTCTCTGAAGATGCCAGCCACAGATGCTGGCGAAACATCAGAAAGAAACTCTTCTAGAACATGGCCACACAGCCCAAAAAACCCACAAAAAAAACCCGTGGCCATTATTTTTGGTTTTTTAATGTTCAGCATTAATCCAACCCTGGAAGTTTCCTCCTTGACTTTCTTCAGTAATTGTTCCAGATCTTTGTTGGTTTCTGCTAGTAGTATTGTGTCTTCTGATTTGTTTTTGTTGCCTTCAAGTCGTTTCTGACTTATAGCAACCCTAAGGTGAACCTATCATGGGGTTTTCTTGGCAAGATTTGTTGAGAAAGGCAGGCTCGCCATTGCCTTCCTCTGGGGCTGAGAGCATGGCACTTGCCCAAGGTCACTCAGTGGGTTTCATGGCCAAGCTGGGAATTGAACCCGGATCTTCAGAGTTGTTATCTAACACTCAAACCACTGTGCCATGTTTGCTCTCTATACACATACTTTTCATCCTGAGATCCTTCCTCTTCAACTGGAGGGGCCAGGATCTGAAATTTAATGCCAAGCTTTGAAATCTGGCAGTCCTGGTGTGTAATGGTAATAGGGTTGCCAATTCATGCCCCGAGGTTTTTGGGCCAGAATCCTGACACCAAGGGATGGCCCCTGGTGATGCCATTAAGCATTAATGCACTAAGCACTAACCACAGATGCTTGTCATTCCAACACAGAACATGTTTTACTGTTTGCAATTTTTGGACAGAAAGTTTAGCTCAAGGGGCTGTTCTGAGATGGAGATGAAATGAAGGGATTGTTCCTTCTCATTTTCTTAGGCTGCTGCCACACTGCAGAAATAATGTTGACAACAGAGCGTTCCAAAGTGCCACCTTGGATGCAACTTATTTTTGTTTTCACAAATGGAAGGAGGCAGAATCCAAAGTGCTTTGTTAATTTAAGTTCTGTTTGTTAATGGTATATATATATGTGTGTGTGTGTGTGTGTGTGTGTGTGTGTGTGTGAGAGAGAGAGAGAGAGAGAGAGATTAAGTAGAGTGTAATGGTTTGAATGTTGGTTTAAGAATCTGGGAGACTAGGGTTCAAATCCTTGTTCATCTATGGAAACCCACTGGGTGACTCTGCGCAAGTCACATTCTCTCAGCCTTGGAGGGAAGCAGTGACAATCCTATGATAGGCTTACTATATCATAGAATCATAGAGTTGGAAGAGACCACAAGAGCCATCCAGTCCAAGCCCCTGCCATGCAGGAACTCCCAATCAGAGCATCCCCGACAGATGGCCATCCAGACTCTGTTTAAAGACCTCCAAGAAGGAGACTCTACCATTCTCCAAGGGAGTGTGTTCCACTGTCGAACAGCTCTCACTGTCAGGAAGTTCCTCCTAATAATGTTCAGGTGGAATCTCTTTTCCTGTAGCTTGCCTCCATTAATTGATTAATTAATCCATTGCATCAAATACACTCTGACTTGAAGGCATCTAGTAACAACGCGATTTGAGGCCTGATAGCTGGTAGCATGTAAGAAACTATTGTGGTGTAGTGGTTTGAGTTTGACTAGGGATGGATCTGCACTGCAAAATTAATGCAGTTTCACACCACTTTAACTGCTATGTTTGCAAGTCTTGCTGAGTGGCTTAAAAAGAAAAACTTCTTTATTCGCATATTTGGACCACATTTTGCCCTAGAAAAAAAATAAATAAAAGAATGGCTCCCTTAGAACAATTCAGTTTTTACACTGCTTTAACTGCCATGGCTCTATCCCATGGATCCTGGGATTTGTAGTTTGTTGTGGCACGAGAGCTCTCTGACAGAGGAGTCTAAATAGCTCTCAAAAATACAGATCCCAGGATTCCATAGCATTGAGCCATGGCAGTTAAAGCAGTTTCAAACTGCATTAATTCTGCAGTGTAGATGCAGGCATAGGGAGATGGGATTGGCTACATTCAGTCTAGCTTCCTTGCTTCTACCCAAAATGTGAATATAAAGCAGAGAAGAGGGTGAGCCCTGGCACCACAATGACCTGGAGAGAAGAAGAAAGTAAATGCATAGATCTTCCTGGAAGGCATTTAGAAATTGTAGCAATAAATGGATTAATCTTTACAAATTGTAGCAAGCTGCTGCTCTACTAGCTGAGCTGGAGATAGGCACTTATGTAGTCCTTTTCTTTTGACTTCAGATGCACCCCACAAATAATTTGCACTCTCATCTCCTGACTTGAGATAACCTTGCACAAGTCACACTCTCAGCCTCAGAGGAAGGCAAGGGAAACCCCTTCTGTGAATAAATCTTGCCAAGAAAGCAGCATTATAGGGTCACCGTAAGTTGGAAATGACTTGAAGGCACACCACAACAAGCTTATAAATAAATATAGAAATAAACTAACTTTTTAACCTGCAGCAAACCAAAAAAGAAAAGAGTCCTGTGGCTTCTTGCAGCCTGCTCAGAATTCCCCTTGCAGCTCAGTAAAGGGGAATTCTAAGTCTTTTGCAAGTGTTCAGATTAAGTAGCCTATGCAAATGGGTTCCTTTGGAAGAGGTGATGAGATTTAATTGGTATAAACACACACACACACACACACACACACACACACACACACACTTTGCTGGAAAAGTTGTGAGCAAAACTGAAAAAAAGACCTTAGTAACTTTATTTCCATTCTTCAGGTGGAAAAACCGAGGTCAGTTTGCAAACATAATTGTTGTGATGCAGTTCCAGAAATGGAAACCAGGTATTTACCATCAACTTAAAAATGCATACTCTCCAACATTTTGCAGAAGAAAACTGGGACACCTGTGGCCAACAATATCAAAGTGTGGTCAACATGGGAAAAGCTATTAATGGGGAATATTACCCAAGCTAGGAGGGGCTGCAGAAGTTTGCTTTTGCCTGAGCCTCCTGGGAAGTCAAGATAACCCTCCCCTCTACTCTCTGCTAAGTAGAAGGAATGCAAACTACCTTTGGACTTTAGAGCTCAGTTTGCAGCAATTGGAATAAGCTGAGGACCAAGGGGGAAAGTAGCAGGAGGAGAGAGAAACTGGGACCTTTTATAAAGAACTGGAAAAGTGGGACGACAGAGGATTAATTGTGACTGTCCCTGCCAAACTGAGACAGATGATGCTCGTAGAATTCCAATTTTTAAAATGCTTTTTATTTGTATTTCATTGGTTTCATGTAGAAAGATGCAAAGATACAAATGTAACAGGTAGCAGTTAATTTAACAAATTGTACTTAATCATGTAGTAAAACAAACTGGGGCAAAACAAAAGAGGATGGTGATGGAAGAGATTATAAAAGTGAAAGCAGCAACGAATTACAATGATGGGGGATGCATCCACACTGCACAACTGATGCAGTTTGACACCGCTTTAACTCTCATAGCTCAATGCTAAGGAATCCTGGGATTTGTAGTTTGTTGTGGCACCAGAGCGCTCTGACATAGGTGAAATGTCTCACAAAACTACAAATCCCAAGAGTCTATAGGAGGAAGCCATGGCAGTTAAAGCAGTGTCAAACTAGATTATTCCTGCAGTGCATATGCACCCTTTGAGAATTACCGTAGTATGAGGCCTCCTGTATAACTTTCTTCCAGAGATCCAGGTGTTGCGCAGGTGGATTCAATGTTTGAAAGTGGTGGTTTACATATTCTATAAAGGGAAACCATTTCTCTGAATAGTTTATATGCCCCATAATTCTTCCATTTATGTGTTGTATCAGTTTTAACGTTAATAAAGTATCCCATATCCTCCATCACTCATAAGGGATGGGAGCTGGAATTGAACATATCAGTTCCAGATCCTGTTTGGCAAAAGATCTGGACCTCCTCGCCTTTTGTGTCAAGATCTGCACTCTTGAAGGCAGTAGTTCCCAAACTTTGCTCCTCCAGATGTTTTGGACTTCAGGTCCCAGCGTTCCTGACATTGGCCAAGCTGTCTAGAGCTTCTGGGAACTGAAATACCAAATATCTGGAAGACCAAGGTTTGGAAACCACCACTGTAAGAAATGATATATGAATGGTACCATGGTGTCACGGTTTGAATGTTGGACTATAACTCTGGAGACCAGGGTTCGATTAACTGTTTGGACATGGAAACCCACTGGGTGACCTTGAGCAAGTCTCATTCTCTCAGCCTCGGGGAAGGCAAGCCTCCTCTGAACAAATCTCACTAAGAAAACCCCATGATAAGTTGGCCTTAGGCTCCGAAATGACTTGAAGGCACACAACAACACCAATAACACCCCTCTACAGATAGTGAGAATTTCAAATAATTCTCCTGCAAAATGTTGGAGAGGCTGTAACAAGAGGAACCTGTATCCCTTAACAATTTTTGATCATTTTCGCTCCACAGCCAACCACCTCCCCGAAAGTATTTCAGGGGAAATTGGCTAATAGAGGAGTCCATGGGTTCTTGATTGAGTTTGCTCTACTTTTTCTAAAAGATTTGCAGCTTTTCTTTCTAGGAACAAACATGAATTTGCAATTTGCATTTAGTTATTTGCTGGCATCATTATCGTCTTGATGGCCCTGCAATAATATATAATAGGCATTCAAAATACTGATGGATGTGTAGGGGTTAAATCTGCCTTTCATGGTGCTAAGTCATTTTCTGGCCCTAAAATGGGCTTTTTGTTGCTACTTAGGAGTGTTGGATGAAGGCTAGGCTGGAGCAGGACAAGGCACATGATGGCGAAGGAGGTGTTTCAAGCTTCATTAGCCCAGAATCCAAAGGGTTTGATTTATTCTCCCTCCCTCTCTCCCCCTGTGCAATTTGGATCTGCTCAGAAAAAGTTCCTTGGGAAATGCTATTATCTCCCAGCCTCAGTTTTCCCTTCTGTAAAATGGGAACAATAGCAATCTACCAAACAGCCTTCTACTGGAAGCTGAGCAAAGGAAAAATTGCAAAAAAATGGGTAAGCTAAAGAAAAAATGTGGTGATAATCACTGAAAAGAGTAGCCTTATTTTTGTGTGAGAAGGGGTGGTTTCTCTCTTGGAAGGGGAGAGAATGGGTCTCATGACCAAGGAAAGGCCTCCCTGCTCCTAGAGAAAATTCAGTGCATCTCTTGGCTAAGCTTTTCCAGAACTGAAAGATGTAGGGTTTGTAGGTGGGGGGATGTATAGGGTTTGCAATGCATCCTTCTAAAGAAAGAAAGAAAACAATTTGATGAGATTAAACTATCCATCTTTTCCTGATATGCTAGCTTTCTGCATGCAGGCTGTTGCACTGGTGTTTTCTGATGAACAAAATGTCTGAAATGTTGCAGCTGCAGGGAATCAGTTTTATACAGTGGCTTTACTTAAAAGCACATCTATGATAGTGTTGGCAGATTTTAAAAAGAGCAATAAGGGGCAGTTGAAATTAATGGTGTGTGAAGTTGACAATCAGAAAGTAGCTACTAATGAGTTTGTATTCTACCTAAATACCAAATGAAAGTATTGATTTTAGTTAATTTAGCCATGCATTTATCTGCAAAAACAATG